TACATTGAACCTGACATTGAAGATGAAGACACTGCGGTTAAAGCCCTCAAAAACGTAAGGAGCTTACAAGGCTATTTCCAGGGAACAGATTAAGGGGAACAAAAAATTGAGGTAGGTTGGAGAAGCAAACGTGACTGCAACAATTGTCGCCTTTTAGGCGTGGGCACTAACGCACGTGAGTTGTGACGTAGCACTTACGGAAACTCGCTGATGCGAAAGAAATACCTCTAAAGAACTTACTGTTCTCGAGAAAATAAAAGTCCTTTCCGAAATTTTGTAAAACTGTGGGAGCAAGTAAGTAGCTATTTACTTTATTAGGGTAGTAAAACAGGCGAGTCTCCTTTTCACCTGCTTAACCTTTGAATGAATATGTTGCATGAAGGATCTCGGGGATTTTTAATACAGGCGGGTCCCCAATAGCTGCGAGGCTTCTTTTGACGAGGTCGTCTCCTCTAGCACTTTGGCTCAATAATCTAACCACAAGGCAGCGGTGGCAAGCAAACCTATTTAATGGCGGTTCACGCTCGCCATGTCAGAGTACTGTCAGTGGGACTTGCTTATCTAATTTCAATACAAATTTGATAGGTACAATTGAAAGAAAGACGTTCTATGACTTATTGATCACAAAAATTCTTCCAATAGACAGATTTAACCCCAAATTCAGGAAGCCTTTCAGATTTATGTTCAGGAACGAGGCATTACTATTGCTGACAACAGTACTTCTGCCTGGACAGAAACTTCCTGAGTGGTATTGCAAAAGGTAAAAATCAAAACCTATTTTCTATTTTCAAATAATTATCGTTCTAAGAAGTTTTATTTATTTATTTATTAGCTACTAGTTTACAGGTAAGGTGTAGAGACAAATACGTATACTAGAAAGATGGTGCATATGTTAATTCGAGAAAATTGATTTTTGAATAAATTGTGATGCTAGGACTCGTATTCATAAAAAATTCTCTGAAAATATACAGTAAGGCGGTGGATACGATAATACATGAGCATACACCGGAACAAGCCAACGTAATGATAAATACAAAATAAAGAACTTCGAGCTTACCGGTCAGCATATGAAGTACTGTTTAACATAAGGGAAACAGCGTCGGAACAGGTTGGTTTTACTAAACCAGAAACATTGTTTCGTTGGGCGTTTTCCGAAATAAGTTTTGTGGCTTCTGGATCTAGGTCGTTGGCTGTTATTTTGCACACCAATGGGATTTCATTTGCAAATCTGACAGATCGCAGACCAGAAGCCGCCAAAGCTTCCAAGATAGATATGCCAACATAGTTGGTGGGTTCAGGTGGCGCATTTTTAGAGGCAGCGATTTTAATTCCCTTGTCAATAAATTCACGCAAGTGCATCTTCAAGAAATTTCTAATAACAGCTATAGTTATATCCCTATTAAACTCCTGAACAGGGTTATAGAATACGGCATCAGGGAGTTTAACTTCAGCGGAACCCTCTCTAACAGTCATTTCTGTTATCTTGGGAATGGGCGGAACCAATGTTGATAGTCTGCGTCCGTGGAATGGTATAAATTTGGCTGATATTGTGTACGCTGCCGAGCGAAGAACAAACAAAATCCCCTGTAATACAAAACAACAGTCAATAAACTAGTACAATTGAGCAACAGTAGAAACAGACAACGGTTTTAGTAGGGTCATTTATCTAAAAGAGGTACACGTATGGAGGAGAGGATGAGTTATGCTGGAACAAAACGGCACCCCAGATAGTTTAGACCAGTGAATCCCAAAATTTATCCTCTGGACCTTACTTTTTAAAGTGAAGAGTTGCTTACGAAAAGTCGAATTGCTTTCGGTGAAAAATACTTTTCAAATTATGACGGTATCGTACTCATTATATAAGGCCGGCTTACAATATGAAATGTAAACCTACGGGCAGCATAAAATAGTACCATATGAAGTCTACAGATGAGGACAAGAAACAACGATAACCCAGTCTGAATTATGTAGGCAGAAAGAAATTTAGATGAGAGACAACTGAATCAGAAAGTGAATATTCTAGCCTACTAGTATTCATTATTAAATAGTTTTCAGAAACCTTGCATAAAAAACATTGCTTCTGCACAAAAGCTTACGCTGACAATCACATATGTTTATAAGTCTGTGTAAAAAAACTAAAAATAGACGAAAAACGTTTGTTCAACAGAGCACTAATGATACCCAGACGTGCAGAGCAGGCACTTGTCGCGTAAAACTGTCTATTGACAACATTAGACCGCGCACTCAGTCTAAGTGAGCTTAAACTCCAATTAGCCAACTCGAGTTCCGCATACAATAGAAGCTTTTTGCTAATCGCATCCAAGTACGATATAAACGCAGTTATCTGTGTGTAAGCGCGCAGCTGGAACAACTTGTGGGCATATACTCGATGATTCGGGAAGTTAAAAAGACGTCTTAAAAATATTAATTTTGTCATATGGTACAACACGTTTACCAGGGAGGTATAAAGACGAGGCCTCGTTGCCCAAAACGCTGGACAATGTGCGAGAAAATGCTGATGAAAAATGCATTTTACGCT